TAACGTTTTTAAGTTATAGGATTATAATTTCAGCTTATGTTGATATATAAAATTAACATTCATTATCATTCTTAAGTACTTGTGGTAATATTGTTTTATAATAAAGATAATTTAGAAAATTACATCTCATCGTAATTTGTTTGTGATTCAGTTGTGATGAACTTTTCCGGATGTAAAATTCTTTCAACAGCTAATGATAAAAGTTAGTAAATACTAATAAGAAGGTTTTATAATAAGCACACTTAAAAAACTAAACAAGGTCTGATTATTTTATTATTAAAAAATGATTCTACGAATAGGTAAAATGTGTATAATATAATTGATTTAAAGAAATTATTGACATTTGACACAAATCAAGCAATTGGTTGTAACATGTATTATACTAACCTAAAAATCTATAGTTAAAAATGATGTCATATCTTGCCAATCATAGACATTCTTTTGGCATCAAAACTCTTTCGTAATATTGGAGACTATACAATGTTGAATATTTCTGACATCCTTATTGTCTATCAATTTATGATTACAAAAGCAAATATTAGCCGAAGTATTTGTAATTAAAAAAAATTATATTTGGGTTAAATATGATGTACATAAATATTATACTTCATCAAATGCGAAGAATTTACTACCAAAGATTTGTACTGTGATATTAGGTTTGGAGGTAAAAAAAAGAAGTCTATTAAAATAATTAAATATGAAAGTCACATTAAGATATTAAATATATGTTAAATTTATTTGTTTTTAAAAGTTTGAAAACTAATATGGGAAAAATATTGTATAGAAAAAAATTATTTACATTTAATAAAAAAACATTATGTTTTAAGAAATTGATTTTATTTCCATCAGAAAGAATAACACAATAAAATTAACCAAAATAAAAGAAATAACTTTAAGGATTGCTCTAGCTCTAAGATATTATAAATATATATATATATATTTTTTTTTTTTTGAAGCAAATTTTCCAAAACAAATAATTACTATTTCTCAGATAAATATGTTAAATACACAGCAATTTTGTTTTAATATGTACTTATTCAGCAAAATCCTTTCAGTCTTGAAGTCATGGTATTTTAATCATCAGGTTCTTGTGTCAATAATAAATTTGCAGCCATATTTTCATTCTTTTCGCATGCAAAATATGCCTGCACAACTTGGTGTTCTGGAAAACCTAACGCTTTCAACTGAAAAAATAAAAAATAAATTATTGTCTGATAGATGATAATATGTTGAAATACTCACTCTATCTATGGCTTCTTTGTCTTGTGTAGATACAGGCACTTCAAATCCTCCAACTGGTCCTCTACCAGCAGCTGCTGGTGCTGCAGCGGTACCTTCATTTGGTTCATTTAACATGCGCACAAATGCTTCTTGATTATTAGATATCATTTGTAACAGTGCTGGGTTGGTTTGTCCGATTTGTTGTAGTACAGAGTTTAATAATTCGGGATTTTGCTGAACAACTGAACGCATTTGTTGAAATGTTGGTTGGTTGCGCAAAAAAGCAAGAGGATCAGTTGCAGGAACTTGGCTACTACCAGTTGAACTACCTGTATCTAAAAACAATAAAGAATAACACAGTTATATAAATACATACAGAAGATTAATGTAATAAAATATAAATTAAAAACATAATACAGATGATGTGAGAAATCATTTGAAATGAAAAATTACAGTTCCAAAAAACACATTTCTAACAAAATAATACAAGTTATAATTTATAACTCATTAGACTTAAAAATTGTATGTCCTTAAATATGACAACCAAGAGTTTAAAATATTGGACTTAATATGATTGTAAAACTATTAAAATATGGAAACAATATAAAAATCAGGTGCTTGAAATAAATGGCAAATACCTGCCATCAATGAAAACTCACTGAATTCAAACAATTTTAAAATTAATAAGTAATCCTACATTTTTTGGCCATGGCTGATCTTTATAATCAAAAACTGACAGCAAAATTCAAAGGACATCAATTAAAATGATGGACTTGATCTGATAGAACTGGGCGAAAATAGGTCCCCACCTGAGAATAAAAGCTCCAAGCACCATAATTATTGATGATAGGTGGGAGCCGGGAGGGATGATTTATAGTTTAAACAATAACATGTATACCTTACAATTTAAATAAAACTATATTTTGAGGATTACCTTCACTAAGTAGACTACTCATAGATTGATTAATAGCTGGATCAGCTTGAAGTTCATCAGGTATTCCGGTTAGTAAATATTCAACTGCTCTGTCTGGATTGTTAAAACTAGCTCTAAGAGCACTCTCGACCTTAAATTTTAAATACAAATAAAAAATGGTTTCATAATATTACAATATGAATAAAAGAGAATATTTTCCAACCTGTGATCTTTCATATCCCATATCCATAACATTTTGAACCATTCTTTCAAATTCATCACTAGATGCAGATTCTGGTTCAGAAGCAGAAGTTTCTATCGCTGGCGATGTTGATTGCTCTTCAACTCTAGGTTGTTCAACCGTTACAGGAGATCTGTATGAAATATATTAATTAAAAATTTATTTATAATTGATGTATGAGAAAAATTTTACTTTTCTGCTGGTTTCTGAGGTGTTGAAACTGATGGTGTTGATTTAGTAGCACTAACACTTGAGGCACTAGCAGCACTAACAGTACTAGTGGCACTAGTAGCACTAACAGCACCAGCTGCTTTTGAAACCATAACCACCACAAATTTTTTTGAGTCAATATTACAATCACTGATTTTAGTATCATCACTAAGTATTTTTCCTGTTTATTTATTAAAAATAATAATAATAAGATATGATGTACTTTAATAGTTATCAAAATTATGTAAAAATTAAGCAAAACCAACCAGCATATATCAATTTTTGGTTTTCTGCCAAATATTCAGATCCTTTTTCAGCTTGCAGTTTTTCCTTTAACTGTCTTACCTACAAATTACGAACTTATTAAATTAGTTAATGTATTTTTTTTTTCATTATTAATTTTATATTAATGTATTATTATTATAAAACATGGATTACAATTTATTACATAAGTGGATAAAATCATTGATTTTATAACATAAAAAAATTATTGAAACCTGTTTATGAACAGTTGATAGTAATTAATAGATCAATTCAACAAAATCAAAGATTCTGGGTACATAATGATTGCTTACTGCATTTTAATTTTTATTATAAGATTCTAGTTTTATAGGGTTTGCACAGAATACATTTTTCTTATTTTTAATACATTGAACACCTATGTGAACACATAGTTGACAAGAGTAAATGGGCGCAGTGTCACTGCTTTGTTGATATACAGTAACCCATTTTGTATTAAGCCTTTATTGGGTAGCTATAAAAAACCACAATCGAAATTTTGACTGGCCATTCATTATGGTATTGACTATTACGTAAATTCTTCTAACTTTACAAGTGGCAAAGGGTGCCCGAGGTCAAATAACATCGGTCACTGGCCAGAACTTGTGAAATTAATGTTGACGTTGAAGGTGTTAAAAGAAAAAGAGTACATTTAAGTCTACATTTTTAAGATATATGTAATATAAAAAAAATATATTACATTCCAAGTTTAAAATTGCATTTACTTAAATAGGTACACCTTGTGTCTGTATACACAATGCATAAGTATAATATAAAACATTAATGAGGTTTATACAGTTAATTGAAACAGATTAATAATAATGTTTAGTTTTAACAAAAAATATAATTACTTTGTAGTCAACCAAGTGTAGCCTACAAGCATTTTAATCAATCCTACAACTAACATAATTAAACGAAAGAAATTACACAAAATATTTGTTGTATTTATTTTAAAGCGTATTGAAATATAATAAATGTAAATGACGAAATGAAAAAAAGGATCATTCAAGATTAGATTTAGGTACCTAAACTGCTTTATAACATAAGAGTAATGTTATGAGTACACTTAAAACATTAAATATATTGATTAGAAATAATACTTCGTTTAAATCTGTACGAATGGATACCTACTACGTTTGAAAATAAAATATATTACCGTTTGGTCTGAATCGATTTCCAGTTTGAATGTTTGCTGTTGCAAATTTTTGAACGTGATAAGCATTGTTGATGCTTCCGAATACAAAGCCAACAAGCGGTGTAAGAAGTCAATAGATTCGTAAAATGTACTGTTTGAGAGTTAGAAACTAGTAAGACCTATAGAATATGTAACAACATAAATCATCAACAAAGTTAATTCTGTTTATCTTGTTAGAAAAAATATAACACGAAAAATTATCACCGAAAACTGTTTTTCATCGCCGTGAACCAGTGCGATGTGATTGAAATTTGAAGCCTAAAGGTAGACAATTATGGTCGACGGGTTGTAGGTATGGACGTAGGGAACATAACCTAAACTATTTATCACGACGCATCATGGAAAAGTATAAATTTAGAAATTGGTTTTATTCGTGGTCCGGATTGATCAATAAAAATCGATCGCCGCGAATTTTCTGGATTCGAGTGCTTTGGAAATGAAACAAAATTTTACGGCGAAATCTCGGCTGGAAGCAAAAAACGTTTTGAGGGGTTCGTAATATTGGCAGTTCCGATACGGAATATCCACATTTGAATTGATACTACGTGACGTCACAATCCACGCCCGAGTGTAGTGGTCGCACCTACGGCCGGTCTTGATGTCTCATCGTGACTATGGCTTTTTCGAATGGACGGAAAAAATATAACATGGCCATTATTTTAGTACGCGCGTGCGCATTACAATCATCTGCCGCTGTTAACGCGCAAATGTACGGATAATTTCGGTCGTTTTACTCTCCATGACCCACGCATAAACCGCTTAAACTTTCGACAGTCGTCTTCGGGGGTCATGAACTTTAAAAACTGCAATTCATTTCGATGTTGGTTTTCCACTGAACTGATGCCAGGCACTGATAATTCCTGAATCATTAATGATCGTAATTAGTCTACTGACGATAGTAATTAATATTATGAGCATATCGCGAAGAAACATAAACAACATGCCAATTAAATAGTTTTTATTTAGCATTTAAATATTATTACAATATTACAATTTTCGTATTGAGAAAATAGCGAAATTTTAACCAACGCAATAATAATATGCAACTAACTTTTTATCTAGGGATGGTGTAATTTGGGTGCATAATAAATTAATATCGTTTTTTTAAATTTTAACTAATTTAACCGAGATCAGGAGTATAAATAAGTTAAAAGTAAAATAAAAATTTAACACATACATTAACTTAGATAACAAAATGAGAATAATGAGACCAAGTAATTATGAAGGATAATTTACAATACAATGAATGTAAACAATAAATACTTAATTCTTATTTTATACATCCAAATAGATTTTTTTGAATGCACATGTTGCACAGTATTCCATTATTCAGTTAAACATTGGACAGTTAATAATTTTAAATATTCAATGTTTAAATGTTTAAAGTATACACAAAACACAACATACATATTAAATTAATCCAATTAATAATGCAGGTTTGCTTATTTAGCTGAGAAAAACATTTGTAGATTAAACATTATGATTTTACTTTTTGTAAATTGATTATCTATTTATAATTAATAGTGGATGCACAAGCTTTAAACAACTTGTGTATAATGTATAATACTATGTTAAATAATAAATTAGCATATAAATTACATCAAGCTTCCATAGGAATTATTTAAATAATATTGTATAGTAACTATTTTCTTCATTGTAAAGTTTAACTCAATGTGACCGAATACATTTTAAATATATAAGCTTTAACACAAATCACAAAAGGTAGTTACTATTTTCTTTTTTAAGAAACCATCTCTAAACATTAAATATAATATGTGACTAGACAACCAATTAAAGATAAGATTGAACATTTATTCGACCAATTTGATACTGAGTTGAAGAACCTGTAACATAATTAGATATACAATGTATTAACGGTTTTTTGGAATAAACAAAAAATAAAAAATAACTTTTTAATTCATAATAAACAAAAAATAAAAAATAACTTTTTAATTCATAATAATAATAAAACATGGTATTTCTGCATAATTTTAAAAACCATGTAGATATTTATAACTTATTCAATACATTATATGTTTTTATCGAGACAAGTAGTTTTCCCAAACACTGGACAATTCTTATGTGTATCTGATATTAAATTCTAGAGATTGATCAAAAAAAAAGTAATTTCAGGATAATGACTTAGTTTTGTGTTCCTCGAGTATGTTATTCATCATCATAATTGTTTCTTTTTATTAATGATCTATTTTCATTTTTTCAGTGTTGAAAGTATCTATGTACTGATGATTATATTGAAATAACAATGTTCCTTCAATGGAAAATGTTGTTATAAAGTTGTTTTTAGCAAAATAAAAAGATACTCAAATTACCACTAAATATTGAATATTAATGTAATTCCTTGAAAATAAAGATAAAAGTTAAGAACTATTGCAGTATAAACGCAAACACTAAAATATTATTATATCTTTATAATACTTTTTTCCTTCTGATTACTCTACTCAACAGCCCTCATCTTTAACTTGTAACTAAAATGTGTATCATTTTTATTTACATTTTCTTTTTTAGATAATTAAGAATTTTAAAGTAGTATATTTACAGATGAATAAAAATGTTACCCATACTCTGTATATAATAGTTATTATTTATTTAATCGAATATTAAATCATCCCATAAAAAGTTCAGGTAATTATATTTACCAATTTGTTTATGACGTTGATCAGAGCCAGCGGGAACATTTTCTGGAATAAAAACAGAGACCAATAATGCACACATAACTAGAAGTGAACCAAAGACAAATGGTGGTCCTGGAATCATCTAAAATTACAAAAGATAATAAAAACAATTAATAAGTTAATATAAAGAGAATATTTAAAGAAGTAAAAATATCAATAATTATTTTACATATTTAACTGACAAATATTACCGAAGAAGATGGATTGTTATTTATATTGTACTTTAAATGTTTAATTATAACTGAACTATTAAGTGAATGTTGAGTTGTATGTGCTATTTGCATTCCTTCATTCAAATTAACATCAAACAAATAAAAAATGAATCCAAACATTGCGGGTCCTAATCCACCACAAAGGCCTCTTACTCCGGTCACCACTCCTTGAACCACACCTAAATAAAAAATAAAATTCCATTAGTTTTAATTTGAACTTCCAAATGTAAAAAAAATTGCTAAACCTTGCTTATCTGCATCTGAATGAATGGAAACAAACGAACTAATAGCAGGATATGTAATACTTGAAATGGCAGCCAAAAAACAGGCAGACCACATGACCCTATTAAAATAAATATATATGTGATTATGTCTCTTAAACAATAAACAGTGGTGAAGCATCATAAGAGACAATGAGAAAACGTATACCTTCTTAAAATACGGGTAAATAATTAAAATAATGAATTTAATAAATATTTTCAAATTATAATAATGTTAAACCATTACAATTTAATAAATATTTTCAAATTATAATAATGTTAAACCATTACAGTATGATTAAAATGAAACAGTTGCATGCCCCTCACATGAGCTGGAGGTACCAGACATGGTGGGACTTACTAATAAACACCCAAATACAGTATTGATTACTGTACAGTATAACAGTAAATTTACAATAAAAGTAAGTTTTAATTTACAGTTTATTTATTTCTTGTATGTTGTTGTTTAAAATATATGAGTATCAATACTATTGTCATTATAGTCTTTTAGTTAATATTATACAGGAATTTAGTCTCCTCAAAAAATTTGACCAATTTGTGAAAAGGACCTTTAATTAGTACCTGTAATAAACTATCAATTTTAACATTTAATTGTTTTTTTTAAGCTCATTTAAAGAATAAGAGAATTTAAATATTTAATTAATAATTAAAAAAATATATATAACATACCAAGTCTCTGAACCAAATCCAAACCACATAAGTTGCATGATTTCAAATACCAAACCAATCATTATTGTGTATTTAGCTCCCATCATTTTCATTATCATACCAAGAACAGATTGAATAACTGCTGAAAGCAGTCCTAGTAATGCAATTAGTAATGACACTTTGAACATACTAAATCCCATAACCTAAAATTTGAATTATCAAGTCAAAATATTTGTCAGATAATACATTTATACTAATCTAATTGAACATAATTATAGGTAGTGAGTTATTTGGAACCGTATTATTGTTTATTACAATTTTAAACTTTAAGTATCAAATTTTTCTAATCAGAATTAATACAGATTATATTATTTGTTTTTAGTAAACATGAGTTTTAAAATGTATGATACATCCTTCGTCAATTTATGTTAGTCAAAAACTAAAGCTAAAAAATTGTTATGTTTACATATGATAGTGCAAAAAATGTTTTTGTATTTACATAATTCTTAATATCAATATCCAATAAAACATCTAGTAATTATTTTAAATACTTTGCAACCATAAAAATGAAAGAAAAATTTGATGGGTGAAGAAGTTGTAGTTTATTCCTAAAATGTAATATATTTATGTATAAGCATAAAAACTGTGAGAGTAGGTAACACTAAGTGAAAAATCTGATTAATTATTTTTGAAAAAACCTAAAATATTTGTATTGTCAAAATCTGTTTTTTTCATAAAAATTTATATTTTTCCCTTTTTTATTCTGAGTGGTTTATAGCAGGCAATTGAATGTAGTTTGTTGGGGAGTTTGGGGATTTTATCTATTAACTCCAAAAACAAGGCATTGAAGAATTTTACTATTTCACTACTCTACAAACAACTGCTTTCAACTCAAAAAAATAATAATGGTACATATCATTGTAAAATTAACACATTCTAAAATATATAAATTTTAAAATCAAGACATTACTATTAAAACAATTCCAATTACTCATATTGATTTTTAATACTTACAAGTCTCAAATATACAAATAATGAAGAGTATTCTCCTGCTTCAGGAAGATATGACAAAAACACTGTTAAGCATAATATCAATATAGTTCGATCTCGGCCAACCATTCTCAAAGCCTTAAAATAAAATTAAAATTAAAATACAGATTTATATAAATTTTTTTTCTAGGTAGGTACTTACAACAAATGGATCTGCTTTTTTCCAAGATATACAATTAGTAGATGTTCGTTGTTTATGTGGTAGACTTTCTGGAACAGCGACAATTATGAAAAATACATTTAAAAGTGCTATTAATGATGCTAAAAATACAACAAAACTAGTATTGTAAGTTTCCATAATATATGAACCAAGGGCTGGTCCAAAAACCATACTAGCTCCAAATGTTCCAGTTATCTAAAAAAAAATGATGGTTGAAGTTTATTTTTTAGAATAACTATAATGTTATTAAATGCATTTATAGTAAGTTTTAAATATTTACCCAGCCATAATAGCAACTCCTTTCTTTCTCATCACTCACATCTGCTACATAAGCAAATACAACTGAAAATGTTACAGAAAATAACCCGGAAATACTTATCAAGGCAAAAAACCACCTAAAAATAAATATTTTACATCTCATTAGCTAAGTAAAAATTGTGTGTAATTTGACATTATAAAGTTTAATTTTAAAAATTACCCAGAATCAATACACATAAAAGGTATTGGGATACATGTGAAAAATACTGTTAATAATAGAAACAATTTTCGCCCCCAAACATCAGATAAGGCACCAATCAATGGGGCACTTAGGAACGATAGAATACCCTAAAAAAAAAAAATTGAATAAATAATAAAATAATTAAGAATAATTAATGATATTCATACCTTTATACCCCAAATAATACCATTCATGAGCAAAGCATGATCTTGGAATGTATTATTTAATTTCTGTAAAATAAATATATTTATTTAATGTACATAATAGCTAACTATGAAGTATAAACAATTAATTCTAATTGATTTATACTTACTGATATTACTGGTAAAGTGAGTAAGCTCCAAGCAAAATACTCTAAAAATATAATGACCAAAGCATGGTAAATTGATGGTTTTCCTATTCCCGATTTCTAAGCAAAAATTAAAGAAAACATTAATCACAATATTTTCATAATTTTCCAATTTGTATAAGCATGAATAAAGGTTATACGAGGATAACAATAGACTAGCAATCTATACATGTAAAAACAATAAATAAAAATTTTATTTTACCATTAGTATTCCGTCACTCAGAATAGATCTGTGGCTTCGGATTACAGACATACTCTTGGTCATTTTTATTTTTGAACCCATCGTGGAACGTATCTCATACTTTTTTCCTTCATTAATAGTTGGAAAATACTGTTCCATTTGTGTAATTATTTAATTCAGGCGATGGACAGTTAATCGTACGTCATTTAAGCTATTGAAATTGATAGTAAAATTATAATAAATATAGATACTACACAATAATTACAAGTCAATTACGCGACTTCTATGAAAACAATAATAATTAATAAGAACTGTCCAATGACTTTTAACTAATGATCATTGTCAGAACAATCAACAATGAACAGTATCATAGGGAAATACTAGGGAAATCAGAATTTAAAATTCGGAAATTCATTTATTTTACTTACACAGTTATGAATACTACCGTTAATCGTTAATCATTATATGGCATTTGGTCGTATTGACTATTGGATATTATTATTATTTAATGTTTCTTGTGATGGATAAACAAGATACCATATTATCATTATCGAATATCGATAGCAGCTGATAACATATATCAAATTTAATTACAATCAGAACGTCCTGTCATTGGTCAATTACCAACGAACGGTTACGGTTGATAACGTTAGATTTCTTTTTGTTTCAAAACGTAACGTTACAAATTGCATTGCAACAAATCGGTACTATTGTTCTGTAATACTCGGCATAGGCACAATATGTTATATTGTAATATTGTGCGTTTTCAGATTGTGATTGACCGGTTGTTCGATTATAATATATATTTTCCAACAAAAGGACCAAAGTGATCAGATTGTGGATTTATTAATATAATACAACTATTTTTTTCTTCGTCATTACGTGTCAATAGTGTTTCCTGTTAAAATGTTACCGGACTTTTTATGTAGACCACTGATGTGAGTATTGTACCTGTGTTTTTTGGAATTTCTATTTTTATTTAAATATACCCTCGAGTCCTTGACACAACCAATGTAATTACAAATATTTTTTTGAATCATTTTTAATATCTATAGTTATTATTATTATGAAAGATTTATATTTACCTAAGTGATAACATTATTTTTTTACTACTTTCATAATTTAAACGTTTTAATATTAATTACTTTTCGTTTTGCTCAATTATGGTTGGATTAATATAAATTTATTTAATTGTATAGATTTAGAATTCATTCAAACCTAGCTATTTGAATTAATAATTTGTCATAACTTTATTTTTTCAGCATGCTATTTGGAATATTATACCCAGGATATATGTCATACAAAGTGCTCAAAACCAAGCGATCAACAAATTATGTATGTTTAATTACTTTAATAAATAATACACTATTAATATAGTGTGGTAATATTGTATAAACATTATTATTGATCTAATATTTGTGGGGTTTATGTAACATATGTTTCAATTAATTATAAGTTTTAATATGCTTATCTAGAATAACTTTAATTAATGGAAACAAAATGATTGTATGTACATTTCCTGTAAAAAAAAACCATTAACTCATACTTTACAAACGTTCTCTCATACATACATATTACCTGTTGTAATCCCAATGTAAAATTGCTGACCGATGTATAACAAACAACAAAAAATAAACTAATTCACTAAAATGTGTATTTAAAATATACTATTGGTTTTATTTCATCATTTAAATCAATTAACCAAAAAAAAAAATGGTATATAACAAGAAACATACTTAATAATATATTGAAGTGGATATGAGAAAAACCAGATAAGATATCATTTAGAACAAATATTTATTTTGTATTATGTATTATTTTTAAAAACTTTTTACCATTCTAACTATATAAATAATAACTACATTTTTGTACAGGGTATATGGCTAATGTATTGGATTACCTTTTCGATGTTCACTTCAGTAGAGACCATAACAGACATATTTATTGGTCCTTGGTAAGTTATTTAAAAAGGTCTCATTTAAATAATTAAAAATATATATTTTATTTTGAATAGTATTTTAGTTAATACATAAAAACTTTCAGGTTACCGTTTTACAATGAGTTGAAGCTTTTGTTTCTTTACATGACTTACCCAACTTCCGACAGCTCTCTGACTTATGTGTACAAAAATATTATAAATCCATTTATAAAACGACATGAAAAGGTCTGTATTATTATAACTGTATACTCATAAAAAACGTAAAAAATTAATATTCTAAGGTTAAAAAATGAATGTGGGAAAGTAGGTAACCACTATGCTATACACCTACCTTGTTATTGAGTTAGTCTGTAACATGTGTTAAATTTGAGTTCAATGGTAAATCATTCCATTAAGCTATTCTAAGGGAAAACTACCTGTTAGTCTGTTAGCCTGTTTAGTATGTTGCTAACTATATTTTATATGTTTTTTGATATTGCTATTAAAGTAATTTATTTTACTATTTAGTATAGCAGTTTATTGATTTAATTTTTGCCAGAAACATTGGATTCATATTATTATTATTTAATGTATCATATATTATTGCTATTAACTTTTGAGTCAATTGGCTAGCCATAGATTGGGTAAATAAATAGGTTTGTAGATAAATAATATCATAAAATGAATGTAAATATTTTGAAAATGCCTTTGTTTATATAAAATATAATAATATTCGTAAAAGTTTCAAGTCCACGCAAATTATATTTTTGAATTACAAAAATGTTATTATTTGTTTAAATATATAATTTCTTCCTCAATTGAACCAAAACGTCTGTTACAAATAATTGTTCTTGTATATTTTTAAGATTTTACTTTATTATTACATTTTTCAAACATTTTGGAAATATTTTCATCTATATTTAAAGTAAAAAAAATTCTAACCTCACATGTCAATTGGTTATTAGTTAAAGAGAGCCAACATATTGAAAAAACACAATAAGTAAAAATTGAATTTTTAGATTTGGTGAAAATGTCTTATGTTAATAGGTTATTCACTTTTGAATTCCTACAAAATAATAAAATTGGTTTTGTCAAAAACTGGTTCTGCATAAATATTTAATTGTCCTACAAATTTTAGAAACAAGAAAATTGTTGTATATTCTCTACTTTGAATCCCCTAATTTATGTTCCTACCAAAGAGTTATTCAATTTGAAAATCTCAACATTTTCACTACTCGAAAAGGTGATGACCTTGTGACTAAATCTGTAAAACCAATACATTTTTCAACCCTTTCAGAATCAAAAACAAAAAAATAATTTTTTTTTTTAATGATTACAAGTAATTATTAAGATTATATATTAAACATTTTATCAGTTTAAGTGTTAAGACTTAAGCTTTTACGTATGAGTACTAAAAATAATATATTTAAAAATAAAAAATGTGTTGCTTAAACAATTATAAATAACAAACAACTTCCTAAATTTACTGTATTACTTACTTATTGGTCTTATTACAGAATATTGATGCTCAAATAAGCAATTTTAAGAAAGGTGGGTTACAAACATTGATGATAGCAGGCAAACAATTCACCAACATTTTCTTGAAGCTGGCCATAAAAGGTTTCCAACTATACGTAAGTTAAACAATAAATATTTTGTATGTTGAAAGCAATTTAAACATTTTTTTTCTCAAGGGGCTACAAGCTGTTCAGTTACAAAATATTAGTACGAGTATAGATACAACTTTGATTGAGAATAGCGAGCCAGATGGATATATTAATTGGGAAGAAGTCATTAATGATTCTGAAGATGACACTTCATTCAAGATGACAAGTTCTTCAGAATCTCTAACTTCTTTAGAAAGAGAGGAAACTCCTGAATATTCCTTTTCAGATATGTATGGAAATTCAGAAACAAAAGACAATGGGATAACATATGATCCTCCATCATCTAACACCCGCCGAAGAAAAAAAGCACCTTGAAAAACAAATTTAAATGAATTGTACTTACCTGATACAAACAATTTGTGCATAGTTTTTTCTATAAGTGTAATTTAATGTTATTTTTATATAATACTTTTTTATAATAGTTGATCTCTTTTTTCATTAAACATATATTTTTACATGCAATACTATTAAGTTTTATCTTTTTATACATTTTATATGTAAATATAAATATTACAATACATCTTGTATCAATTACAATCACCGATCGTTAATCAATTTTACATATTACTCTTTGGCTTAAAAGCACCGTACCCAGATATTATAGATATTATTGTATCAGCCATACAATCACAAAAACGAATAACAGAAATGTTGCGTTTAGTTGAACAATTTTGCATTTCAATTTCAAAATTAGTGTGAATTGGCCTATTATCTTTATACATCGTAAGTAACCGTAGAATGGTTTATGGTATAAATAATCAATAAAGTACCTAACTTCAAATTAATCCAAATGTTTTGAAAAAGTCAGTGACCATTATGTACCTACCCATATAAAATATAATAGTATACAGGGGAGTTTAAGTCTGAATATTATTAGATTACAATAAAATAATTAAAATTGTTATGCTTTGTTTGCTTATAATTTTGTTGAAAATTTCATGAAAATTTCTATTTCAAAATAATTTTTCAAATTTTCTTGAATTTGAACCAATTCACTTTAGCTACCCGGCATGAATTTCGTTTAAACATATATATCAACTAGTTAAAAACGTTGGTGTGATAAGAAATATGTGGAAATAATTATTTTGGAATTTATAGTCTTCTAGTCTGCGATTTTATGTTTAAACGCTGTACCTTCTGTATTGCTGCGCGCAAGTCTAAAACGAATTTTTCAATTTTAGAATAGAATCAACGTCTTAATTCTCACAATAATTTTGAATAAACCATTAGTTTTGAAATTGTGAGTCGCCAGACTCGATGGAAAGTAAAAGTAACATAAGTATATATTATATTTGCACCATCGTTCTTAACTTGTTGAAATACGTATGTTAAAAAAAAAAATTAATGCTGGCTAGCTAAAGTGAATTTATATCTGTGATATTTGCAAATTTTATCAAAATTCAAAATTTAAAAGCTCATAAAAAAAATTGTGAATTTACACTCATATTTTTTTATTTCCACTAATTAAAACTTACGAAGAACTTAGTATTACATTTTCAAGTTTTCAAGACCGAATGAAAAAATTTTATGGACATTATTAAAAAAAAAGCAGCAATAATCATCGAAAATTTCATATACTTATAAATAGTTTAACACGAGTCAAAATATTTTGAACATTTTAATCATTTTTTGGTGTATAAAAAAGGGTATGAACATTCAGTGAAACTTTTTCTTTTAAAATTACATCAAAAACCAAAATCGATTTAGCTTGTTAATCAGTGGCGTAGCTAGACACTTTTTCTTGGTAGGTCCGATATTTTGATGTAAGGATTACCAATGAATATTTTTATAAAATATAAAAGTATCAGAATACTGCCTTATGTTATACATTTATTATACCTAGGCATATTACATGGATTTATTTTATGTGTTAAAACTAATAGTATAAAATTAAATTCATAAAAATGATATGGCTTTATTAAAATATTTTTAGATTGAAAATTCCAATTTTCTTTTTCATTGATGCAAACTAGTCAATTACAGCAGATGGATTTTCTATGAATTTTCCACTTATTTCTCTCTCAATAAACAGCAAAATTAAATTATTTAGTCTGCTACTTGGATGGTAGGAAAAAAAGTCTCGAGGAAAAAAAGTCCCGGAAAAAAAGTCCCGGAAAAAAAGTCTCCGGAAAAAAAGTCTCAAAGAAAAAAAGTCTCGGTGGAAAAAAAGTCTCAGGGAAAAAAGTTATATTTTTATAAAAAAAAATATGTCATTGAATCGTAGTCGTATTTAAAAAATAACACATAATATCACATAAATATAATAATATAAATAATAAATATGGATTTTGAAATTGCTGTGATTAAAGCTGCAAAAAATATCTTAGGTGAACATATCCGTGGTTGTTTTTATCATCTCACACAAAGCACCCACCGAAAAATACAAGAACTGGGTCTTGAGAATCGGTATCGCAATGACAACGAGTTCAATCTAATAAAATTCAATAAAATTGAACTCAAAGATTTTTGAAAGCTATAGGTCAAAATATTAAGCTACAACGATAATAATTTATATTATTTATATTATTATATTTATGTAATATTATGTGTTATTTTTTAAATACGACTATGATTTAATGACATATTTTTTTTTATAAAAATATAACTTTTACTCCCTGAGTCTTTTTTTCCACCGAGACTTTTTTTCTTTGAGACTTTTTTTCCGGAGACTTTTTTTCCGGGACTTTTTTTCCCCGAGACTTTTTTTCCGTTCCCCTGCTACTTGTCACCGTTGACGCTAGGTATGTTTTTACTCTTTTCATCGTCGAGAAAGTCTTTTCTATTGAGGCACTAGAAACTGGAACTACCAAAACATTTTCAATCATTTTTGTTAATTCTACAAATCCAACTTTGCATTTTTTTACTTCTTGATATTATTCAAAAATATCAGATAAGTACAGATAAAAATAAGGCTTTTCCTAGTTGACATTGGTATTTTAATTTGGTAATAAGTTCATTTGATCGATAAAATGTAAATGTTTCAGCATAACAACAAATTATTTCACCGTCTAAAAATGTTGATGAATTTTGGTCTAAAGCTTCTAAAGTTGTATACATATTATCATTTGTATTAAAACGCCGGTTTATTTCGAAATATATTACGTCCAAAATATTAAAAAATATTCTTTTTTGATCTGTCTTCATGTCATCAGATGATTAAGCCATTCTTTTACCAGTGGTAATAGTTACACAATAATCGGCTAAAGTTCTTGAATTTTGTCGTGTTCTATTTGATGATGACAAATTAATCACTTAATGTCTTGATGGCGTAGGTATTTTAGAATTTTGAGCAATAATCAATGATTGCTCATATAGTTCAAAAAACTTCTCATCATGACGTACTCTAATATTTGTTGCTTTGTTGCATTAATTAATAATGTACAACGTTTTACATCAAGAGTAGTTGATTTGCAGGTTAGTTGATAAGCAATTAATGATATTTAATATTTCGTTTAAGCACACAATTATTATGATAACTTCAAACTTAGCAAACTGTACGGCCAAACCCTTTGCCTCTGCAGCTTCTTGTTTTTTAGTACTTTCTCTAAATGCATTAAGAACTTTTAAATTATCAATAAAATGATTTTTTAAATAATTTTTAAAAATGTAATACCCTTGTGTTTTGAAACCCACCTTGTTTCACAATGTTGTGGTAGGTACTTTATACTTAATTTCTTGTAGAAAAGCATGATGGCGAATTGTAGATACCGATTGGAATGCATAAATAGCTTCTAGTTCTAATAAACTAAGTATTTCATCTACTTCTTGAATATTTTTCGTTACATCAACTAGAACTAGGTTTAACCTACGAGCATAACAATACGGACACAGATTTAATCCCCTTATTTTTGTTTGAACACTAGAAAAAGCTCCGGACATTACTGACGCACCATCATATGATTGACTTACACAATTTGAAATATCCAAACCAACATTATTTAAATTATTATGTCATCACACATTGCTTGAGCATTTAGATCGTTCAATTCGACAAAACCTAAAAATCTTAAACTTTGAACCTAAGAATTGAAGAATTGAAAGCTTTTATTGATTTTAATTTTGTAATGGGATATAATAGTTCACCATCCTGGAAAGATTATTGGTCAACAAGCATGACTGTATGACTTTGTTGATTTTGGTTTGGGTGAGGTTAAAAATAACCTTATTGGAATAAAGATGTTTTTTGATAATTTTTTTCATCTCTATATCTAATAGAAAAGGTATTCCTCCTCTTGCTGATTATAAAACATTAGATAGAAGCATATAATATCCCGTGTAGCCCGTGTAGGTATTACTGTATATAAGTGGATGGATAACAGAATTGCACACTTGGCATCTAATTTCCATGGTGCTGATGAAAATGGTGTATTGCAAACTTAACATGATGGAACATAAAAAAACATCAAATTTCCTATAGTTCCTATAGTTAACGATTATAATAAGTATACATGGGCGGAGTAGACAAAGCAGATCAATTAAGAGCTTTTTATAATGTTTATAGAAATCAATAAAATGGTTGCATAGATTGTTTTGGGGTGTTATCGATAAAATATTTGTAAATTCATTTGTAATTAATAACAAACTTAATGATACTAAATTAAGTGTTCTACAATTTCGAAGAGCAGTAGTTCAGGGATTAGTTACACAGTGTAAATGTGGCCTAATAAAACAAACAGACACATCTCCAGGAACTTCAAAAGGTAGACTATGTTTACAACTGAGAAGAGGCAAACAGTTATTTTCTTCACCTTTAGAAGTGAGGTTAGGGAACTTAGGCACACTGATAAGAATTTAGTAACCAAAGGGTAGATGTGAAGTGTGCAGTGAAAAAAATGTAGAATTTAAACCATGTACTAAGTGTAGATGTTCTAACCTGCAATGGGTTTTTATGTCTAAACGAAAAGAAACCTTGTTCTAATGAATATCATTTAAAATAATGTGTTAATATTTGTTTATAATAGTAGTTATTTTTTTGTATTATTACTATTATGTTATATTATGCTTTATTTATGACTATGAGTTATGACTGATTTACATTTGACAATAATTTAAAGAATATTATATTATAAATTATATACATTTTTGACATCGGAACCACTCCATGTTCTAACTAAACTCTACAATTTAAAAAAATTGACCATTTAGTTTTTAATACTAGGTATAACTATAACTTTTAAGTTTATGTTTTTGATAATTTAAATCATAAACTATAGATATCTATATTTTACAGTCGTAATGGACCATAGGGACTTTTAAGTATACTCTCTAGATGACCGATGGGACTTATTAGTCACGGTCCTTATAAATATGTTAAAAAACTTCCAATTTAAAATTTCATGATTTTAAAATTCATCCAATAAATAATAAATTATAGTGGTGGAAAAAAAATTCAGCATTTATTGTTGATCTACAAAGTGTTAAAAGTATTTAAATTTAATTTTCGCTGTGATTTTTAAACGTACACGGTGCACGGTTAAATATGTTATATTACCCGAAACACATACAGATACATTTTTCTGCGTCTGTATGACATGTATGTCTGTTTGTCTGGGAAAGGCCTCGTAAATGATAAATCGATTGTGAAGGGTACCTTTTGTATTATTTTATGGAAAAGCCGAAAACGAATAAGTAGATAGATTAATTTCAACCCGCCGTAATCGGATATTACAGCTAGTTAGCAGTTATAACTAATTATTTTATGATAGTAGGTATGTAAGTAGCGTTTTAAATTTCATCCACTATTGTTATTTATAGCCAATTAATAGGTATATTCGTTCACGTATAAACTGAACAATATAAGCACTTATATTATTTATAAGTTATTATATCTTATAAAATGTATACTCTTTATATGTTGAAATGTTTGTGAACATAATATAACACAATTCACACATATTATATTAGAGGTAGGTAAATAATATAATAATATACAAAAGCATTTTTATCAAAATGTTTACTTAATTTTCAACATAAATATCACAACAATGGTACCTAACAGTACTATTTACAAATAAATTAAAATGATTTTAAATTAATAAATAATAGTATCACTCTAAAAATAAAAATTTAAAAATAAAAAAATTGTATACACAATTATTTAGGACCCTGAAACGTGTTTAAACCTAATTAAAAAATAAAATAATAATAATTATAAAAGACGAAATAGAATTTTACAAGAAGAAGTATTTTTTCGTAACAATATACATTACAAATATTGTACTTGATAGAAAAGTTACAATTGCAATTCGTCGCAAATAAATAAAAAAATAAATAAATATCATATCTGAAACTGTACCAAGTTGCAGCTGAGGACGCATTATTGGAAGTATCAGTTTATTGGTTTAAGCGTATACCTAAATGGTCTCACAGCATTCCTATTTTGTGTTTGTTGTTTCCGTTGACCAAGCATGTCGACCATAGAAGGCATAGGTTTGGATCGCATGGCTATGAATTCTTCTGCGTCTTCGTCTTTGGGCAGAGGCCTCTGAGAGTCACCGGGTACTGGCCGACCATCAGGCATTACTCTCACAACCATTGGTCCGATGATATAACCACCTGGTGGAGTAGCTATTTCTTCGACGTTATTCGACGCGGAACCCAAATCGTTTCCACCACTTGTTTCTATACAAAGTTGACATAAACAAATAAGTCAGATTTTATGTACCGAAGGTAAATACATAGCATGTATGCTTAGGTCATACGAGTCTGCATGAGTGTATCATCTTATGATATTTACCTAATGGGTCATTGAGCTCTTCTTCCGATTTGTTGGTTGTTTGAGAAGTATAGAAACCTCCTTTCATCATAGATTCCCATACTAAAATAATAACGAGAATAAACAATAAAAATAACTTTCTATTTTAATGTGTTTATTTTATTTGACATTATTTACATAATGTTACTAAAATAGTTAAATATGGGTATACTATACATACTCATTATTCTCGATCCTCTTTGATAGGGGTCCATTTTGTCTAAGCTATCATCTCCCATCTTCGCCAAGTTGGTTAAACCATAAACCAATAATACTTTATTACAGTCTAAAAACAAAAAACAACATAATAAAAATATTAGTTATTTATACGAGATTACAATTAATATATAGTTAGTAATATGTGTACTTTGTTATAATTGTCTATATTTATGTTGCTCCTACTAACAAGAAATGTAATTACATGGTAGTATATTTAGTAGGTTATGGTATTACATTTATACCTACAAGATATCTAAGATTACCTAGGCACATAAAAAACATGGTGAAAAAATCAACATTTCAATACGTGAGATGATATAATAATGTTGTAGGTACCTATATGTATATGGCAAGACAATAAGACATAACAATATTGAGTATAGGTATGCAAAGTTGGTTGGCTATTGATTGATAATACCTAATTCTGCGTTGCGTGAACAATTACTAAGACACTAAATATTTAACAATCAATACAGTAATAAGCTATGATGGCCCCTTAAACATGATTCAGCGGTCCATAAAATAATATACAATTTTGGTGCAAACAGAAACTATAAACATATTATATTTAATTCTTGACAGCTGCAGTATAATTATTTTATAAATTTGTATAATTTATATTACTATAAAATTATTGTTGTTATAAGATACCTATTATGATGGATTGACATATTAAGCTATTATTATATATGATGAACAGGAAATGTAAAAACATAAATATTACTACAAATCAATTAGAATGATGATTGGAAAAATTGTACCTACTTAAATAATATGTAGTAGATGAGTATGTATAAAAGGAATTTAATTTTTCTATATATTTTATGTGCGGTAGCCATGACCTGCAAGAGCCAATAACCTTCATAGTGACATGCAAATTAATTTGACGACGATGAACCCAGGAGACTTTAACGAACGATCACAGAAAAATAAACGATTTATAAATTATAAGTCACGATGTTTATTTATATAATAATATTTCGTAAGAATACTACCAGGAATTACCTTGAAAACCAATATATTTGTAACCATGTTGGTATGTACCTAGATATTTTATATAGACCAAAGGTTGAATTGTTTTTAAAAAAATGCAAGTTATCTTACATTCTTATCTATATAGCATAAAATGTAGGTTAGGTAACATTTTTATTTAGTTTTTATGATTTGACATTTATGTATATTTATATATACATTGTAATTTGTATTGTATGTACATAGGTACAAAATATTACATTGTATATAAATATAATATAAGTATATGTATTATGTACAAATAGCATAAACACAAATTATTTGACAACAGTCGAGACTTGAAATCAATATCTATAAATAAAATACAGATTGATAAATTAAAATTTATAATTTTTATGCACTATATGTAGACCAAAACCAACAAATAAAACGCGCCGTTTTACGAGTATATGTATCTGGTTTATACCTATTATAATATTTCCACTCTCTCAGCCATATTAATATTGCTTAAGCAACCGCAAAGACCGCCCAACATGATTCATAAGACTGTATAAAAGTAGAAGGTACCTATAATGGCTGTACTACTTAGTATAGGTTATTTGGTTACAAATGTAACATTTATAGTACTCATATACAATATAAACATATTACATACAATTTAAACTACTTAATAAATAGTAGCTCATGTCTATTGTAATTATAAAGTACAGTAAATACAAAAGAAAAAATTTACCTGGCATAGAAGATGAGTCACAAAAGTCGGCTACTTGTTTCACGAACATGTTGAATAAGTGGCTCATCTAAAAAAACAAAAAAGAGAACAAACTTGTTAACATAGGTACACATATTATAAACGCTTCTTGGAAAATGTTTACATAGACATATATTTTTACACTTATAATGGTTTTTACATTGTGTATAGATCAATTATGAATTTAAAAAAAAACTCAATCATTTGACTTTAGTCAAAAGTTATACATTTATCTGAAAATTAATCTATATTAATAACTATTATTATAAAATACATGATGAATTATATTTTTAAAAATCATAAAATCTTGTTCCAATACTTTATTATGTAGGTACGTCATACAGTATACCTAGGTCGTACGTATTATATTTAATACATGCGAACTGTGAACGGAACTATGGAGGTATATCCTTCATGTGTTTGTAATTTCATATTTTGGTATATTATATACTTACTCTCAATTAAAAATTAAATTACACCTCCAATTATAGGCAGTATGAATTAAGCTGGTAAATTAATACTTATCATAAATATTTTAGATGTTTCAATAATGTTTGCTTCATAAGATTGCGTGAAACGTAATAAAATAATACTTTACGGAAGTCTGAAGCCAAAAGGCGTAAACAATAAAATATATTTACAAATCTTCCAACGATATAATTGTTACAAGTATGGTAATTTTAACAAATATTCGAATAAAATTATTCAACCTTCACTGACATAATAAAACATTGTAATTTGTGAGAAAATTATGTAGAACTATTCATTTTTTATGTGATTTTTCTATATGCAGGTATCATTTAAATGTATTAAATAAATGAATATCTACATTGCTATATATATAATGTTATTGTAATATATTATATGGGCTATACCCCTATTTTTCCTTTAACAATAAATTTATTCAAATTCGGGTTCTTAATCATTTTTAAGTATGGACCATTTTACGTATATTTTCAAATATTTAAAAATGCTATACCATCCTATGGTGAGAATATGCATAACACATGCATACTTCAAAACAAAAATCAGAATTTTGAATAAATTCTCATTAAAGGGGGAATGGGGGTGAGCATGTTAGATTGCTAGGCAAATCAAACTGTATACCACAAATATCAAAAGATATATATAAAATATCAAAAAACAATTAAGAACAGCACAAATATAAGTACGACATGCATGGGTACATAACAATTGTAATTCATTTGAAAAAATCTTAAATGGTTTTTTTATGAAGACAGTCAGATTCTATTCAAAATTACAAGTAAGGCTGGTACACTTGCAGTTTTTCGTCACGTTTCTTGGAGGAACCTAGGTACCTATTTATAAATTCGTGTCTTATGGATTTTAAAAATAACGGGTTCGTGTATGCTACACTTTACGAAATGCACAGCATTATTGTACAATGGACACGGTAAATGTATAGTACTTACATATATGTATTAAAATGTACTATACAATTACTCTCAAATTTTTAATGACTATAATTCATAAAAAAAAAATAATAAGAAGAATAAGAATCACATTAGGGAAAGTCTCCTTGAACGTCAATAATAAATTATGGGGTAATTTAATGACTATATAGTTACCTACCTATAATGCTGTAGTTTTTTTAAAAATAATATAATTACTTATTTAAACTATATGCAACTAGTTAAGTGTACTTAACTTTATAATTTATATTTATATATATTAAATGACATACTGGGTACTTATGTTGAATTAGAGTCGAATACAAAACTCACATTTTTTAGCAATGAAGAATGATAATATTTAACTTTCCTTTTAGTTTGCCTATGTATAATGTATTATAGAAATTATGGTGGTGAATTAAATATCTAAAAAGTAAAAGATACTGAATAACTTTAAGTAGAAAATAGTTAATTACTGTTTAGCAAAGATATTATTTTAAAATTTACATTCCTTACTGTTTGTAATTCAACTACGCAAACCTTCTGAAAACAACAATATACATTTAAGATTTTGTAAAACTGAAATAGTTACCTACTTAGTATTTACTGTACATACTTATAGCGACTTATAGCGTATAGATTATTAGATTTACTGCAGTATATACAATAATATTGTTGTATAAAATATAAATAGTAGGCGGATAAATATCTATAGGTGAGAGGTATAAATAATAAACGAGAATTTGTCAATTATATAAGTAAATATTTTTATTTTATTTACAGTAAAATTTTTTTTTTTGAATCGTTGTTTTGGTATTTATATTATTGTATTGTTATTTATTTTCGCGTTATATTGTATACTAATAATAATTATTTTTTGAATAATGATAGCTTATTACAAGTCACTACCAAATTAGTACTTATATAGATTATTCCTATACTCTAAAAGTCTAATGGACTAACAAATATCACAACTTAACATTTTTATTTTATTATTGAATGTATTCATCTAAATATATTATAGTACTGTAGTAAATATTAATATTAAAATAATAATGAAAATGAGAAGTTTTTAAGGGTAGGTACCTACTGTAAAATATTGGCACTCCGAGTACTCGACAGTAGCCATTTGGTGCTTTTAAAATATGGTGGTGACAATCAGATATCGTAATATCGTATGAAAAGTAAACAGTAAATGTACAAAAAACAATTTAAAGAATATTAAGCTCGAGTGACCCGTCGGAAACGTAAACAAAAACAAAATATAATATAATATATTATACGATGCACATATACTGTATCGTAGATATCCGTTGACCGCTGTTGTCTGGAAGTGGTTATGTTATTTGTTTATATTAAAATGTATAATATTATAAAGTGCGTCGCACGCTTAACTAGATAATTTTTTTAATAAAATATACATACCATAATATAATAATATCATCGTAGGTGTTATTATACGTGATTACGTAAATTAAATTCATATATGTGAGGAACGAATAACTATGTATAATATATAAAGTATCAACTATCAGCTATGGAAAAATCATCCAACAAAAAATATGCCATAAAGTACACAGTATACATTAATTAAATAACTTGGTTAAGAGGTGAGTACTGGTGACACTATTCTCAATATATTTATTGTCTAGGATTCGGTCATATCCAATGCCTTTAGTACATTTTTATTAATATAAACAATTGTAACCATTGTTCGAACCATCATTGTTACCGTAAATGACACTATCCTAAAGTAATATGGAACGGAAATCGTGTAACGATACTATATTTTCATTTAATATGCCCGTAGATCCGGGTATATTGTCAACCAGATTTTTTTTTATCTCTCTTACGAATTTTAAATGTACAGACTCCTGGATCACATCTCCGGTTCGCCAGTCGCCACAAACCAATAACTTTTATTGTATTTATGTATATAATAATCAACAAAATGTGACTTAAAGAGTGATATATGAAATTCTTCGAGGATAATGATTAAGATAACCTATATAAGGTGCATAGAGAAAGTTAAAATGTTTCAATATTCTAATATTTTGTGATACTACTATACCAGTATTACCACTTACACCTCTTATATCTTATATATAGTATAATGTCAACAACACATACAGTTGGTATATCTGGTTTTTACTGCTTGTAATCTCAAAATCCCGAAAAACTTAGTGTTACGCTCAATTTTTAAATAATTTATTTATAAAATACAATAATTTAATTTAGTATTTTGTTAAGTAAAATTAAGGTATAACAAAAAACGTTTTAAAAATAAAATATTAATTTTTTTACCGCCTTTTTAGTTTTTAAATTACTTTGTATGTGTATTTTTAAGTAAAATGCAAGTAATTTATTAAACGTTTGTATATTCTTGATTGATATAAATAAAAAAATAATAAAATATAATTTTGTAAATATAGATACTAGATACATATAACTTTAATCTTTATATATATAATACAATGATTGGACAATGAACATTACTGTGACATAATATATTTATACTTTAAAATTGTGTTTATATACAGATAACCCTACTTGTCCTAATTTTTCATTAAGATAAGCATTTTTTTTTCAAATTCTGACAAAACTAAAAAAAAATATATTTCTTTTTATTTTTATGCCATTCAAATAAGTGTTCTATAATTAACAATCTAAATTTGTTTTCTTAAGCGAGAACCACTATTTTTACTGCATATTATTGAGTAAGAATTTTTATTTTTAAAAATTGATGTAAAGAATCTAAAATTCAAACTATTCGTTTCTGAGCTATATAACTTTATACGTCAGAAATCAGAATTTTCATAAATGCGTTGTCAAAGAATAAAATGGGTCGAGCATGCTTATGACCAATACATATATTTAAAATAACATAATACTTTTTACTTTTTAGTAGATAGTAAGAAGGAATATAAAAATGATATATTTATAAAATAGAAATTGAATGAGTAAATGTATTGGCATATTGTTTCTGATAAAAATCAAACGAATAATATTTACATCTTATTTAACTGAAATAGTTACATTATTCAATTTAATAAAAATTATAATTTGTATCTGTAATAAAAAAATTATTCTAACAAAAAACATTTTTTCTTTAATTTTAAATTAAATGCATACATAAAAGATGGAATCGCTTCACAAATTGCATAGGTAATTTTATATTTAAATTTCATTTGAGTAAAATGTAAAAATAATTCACCTAAAATTAAACATACACTCTAGTAATCGTTAAAAAAATCATATATAAACACATATTTATATTGTAAAAATCATATTTTAATTGAATAATGATAACGTCTAACTTACCTACAAAATATATTTTACATAAAGATTTTGAGAGAAAAATTCATAATAAAGATTAAAGAGACGGGATTATCAAAATATTATAATATATATTAATATATTTTGCATGTGCCAAGTATAATTTAAAATACGATGAGTTTTTATTGCACCTACGTGCTACACTAAAATTTTATTATTCTTTAGAACACAATAACTTAATATGTCTTATTTAATATTTGTAATAAAATAAAATATATTTCCTGTTGACCATGATTTCCAGTACCCCCATAATGTATTAAGCTATGTAGGTACATAATATTATGTACAGAGAGTTGCCCTTCCGGCAAATCGTAAATTTTGCTGATGGTTTACTTTATGTTATTAATCACTAGTGACTAGACGTGTAGGTACTTGTGTCATCACTCATCAATCATCAATAACAAAATAATTAATAATACAAATTACAATAACGATTTATGAATTTATACATTTTTTTTATAAAATCAATCATGTTTGTTTTATTTAGATTTAACGGCTGCCTAAAGTTCAAGTAATAATTAATAGTTAATAAATAATGAGTAATTAACTTATAAGTAATAACTAATAACTAACCACGATATTTTATAAGTACGAACATTGTTCAAAATGAGGACGGATGCTATTGTGCCCACGTAGGTTTATATGGAACCAGTTATCGTGTGAAAACGACATTGAAATATTTTATTTAGGCCCCTTCGGTTGTCAACAGGTACGCACAAAACTGGGTAGAAAATAAAACCAATTTAAAAACATTTCAGCATTATATGGATACCATTGTTAAAAAAAATTTAATTCAGTCTTTTTATAAATGCAGAAAAATATTAATTAAACATTTTAGGTTTATTATGTTTATTTTTTATTTAGATCTAGTGTTTTACAGAAACTCTCACTTAAATAACGCAGAATAAGACTTATATTTTAACTGATTTGTAGACAAACTCTAACAAGTATAGACACGCTAGACAGCGCAGTACTGAAAATCACATATTAGTTATCTATGCGTAAAATTAAAACAATGCAGTCCGCAGAACACTTTAAAATGCATTTATAATTTAATATTTTCGTCAATGCCTACCTATTTTTTGTTATTTACATGGAAATCTAGAATTTTATTGTATATTATATTATTAATATAATATTAGGGTGTTGATACAAAATTTGAGCGGACAAGCGAAGCGACAAAAAAGAATATTGGTAGGGTCATTGACCCAATTATGGACAAAAAAATTAAGTACATCATAATTCATTATAGTTTTTACAAAAGTATATAATATATTGCATAAAATATATAATTTAAAAACATATAAACTTCCTACCATAATAGCATAACATATTAAATACTTGAATTATGTGCGTAACTCAGTGATAAGCAACAAGTAATAATATTATGTGTATAGGTACCTACACTACTATACCTAGTGTGATTTTTATTTTTTATTTCATTATTATTGTTGTTAACATTTTGATAACTGTTACCTACATTACAATAGAATACTAAACTATTAGTAGAATATAACATGTTTTTATGAAATGTTTTCATATAAATATTATTCAATTGTAAAAAGCAGGGAAAGGATAAAAAAATCAGTTATCAATAGATTAAAAACCATTAGATATTATATTATTTTACATGCAATATTTGAATAGATATTAATATTTATTGTAGTGGTTATCTTATAATCGCTGAACCAATTTTTTTCCCAAGTATTGGTTGAGTATTATTTGAAAAGAAGATTGGCATGTTTTTTAAAGAGTAAATCCAAATTAAGTAGGTTCATGAACTATAATCTAATTCTCTGGATCGGATCATCCAATCATTCCAGTCGTCCCAGTGTCAGCAGTGGTGCATTCAAGATTTTTAAACTTGATGGGGGATCGAATTTTATTAACAGAAGAACCAATTTACAATTTGATTTGATAATATACGCTAACTCGATTAAATGGTGTAAGGGGAAAAATTCACATAATGCAACTACCTACTTTTTTACGCCTCATTGCGTTTGTGCACTTGCATGACTAATATAAATAGACTATAAGTTGAATAAGTGATCAATATTTAACAGCACACTTTTATCCGAATAGTCAATTCAATTGTTTATGATCATGGTACAATTTTCATCGTTTCAATAACGATTTAGTATAACTATGTTATATTCGATTATTTATAATAACTGTTTTGTGAATAAATTGGCACAATGATCGATACCGCGAATAATCTGAATGTACAGTTAACAGAATAATGATGTCAAATGGTGCAAGTCGGTGTACATGGTGTTTTCAGTCTTAAAAGTTTTTTTTATTTAATATTATAGGTACTTATATAGCTACTAGTTGTATAGTTATCCGAAATAATAATAAAAAATATCTTTATTTAAACACATACATATTTTTCCTATAATCTATAGTGTGGGTACGTTCCACATATTATATTTTATTTCTAATTTCACTAAAACGAACAATAATATATTATTTAACGAATATCGTCATGTTAACATATACAGGATACCTACACTTCACCCGATAAAAAATAAGTATAGACAGCTGATAGAATATACATATTTATAACTTTATAAGACATTTTAGACACTGCAGGACACACGTATTTATACATATATACATATTTTCGGTTAAAATAAATCGGTTGGAGGTCCAGATGAGTTTATAATTTTCAAATCCAATAAATCATTTCTACTTTATTCCTAATAGTATGTTTAATATGTAAATTATATTTAACTGTTTATAGGTATTATTGAAATAAAGTCAAACACACAACGTAAATGTAATATATTATCTTGAATATATTATAACCTATAACATAATATATAATATTGTATACATAAATATATTATAATCAAATATAAATGTATACTTCACGAACGAATATCAATAAAACGATTTAATTTCCAAAAGTTACCTTTTCTCCTCGACTGAGGAATTCCCACATCGGAATGGCCGACCCGGAGGTCCGGGTCACTAGGAATGCGGCCAAGGGCCATAGGAGAGCGTACGTTCTCATCGTGTTCACTGTTCAGATAAATAAATCGTATGTACTGCAGCAGACGGACGGTCGTGGCAATTCGTCGTTGTGCGCGTCTTGAAACACACTGATCGTGATTATACGCAACGGAACCGCTGCTGGGGCCGGCACGCCAGGCCGTCGCGCCGAAACGGTTGCGCATGCGCGTCTGTTGGCGGCGCCTGCAATAAGCGCGCCAAGTTCCGGAAAAATCAGAACGGTTTTTCACACACGCACGCGCATGTAAACTATACAGGTATATACACAAACACCACTCCGCACGCTGCACCGAAGTCCTTGACATTTACCAAGATCCGCGGTATACCTACATACCATACAGAAGGTATACTATATATATATATATATATATATATGTATAAACATATTTAATAACGCATACAGAATGCGTAGGTATTTAATATTGTACATACGAATACCTAGTTATAAATATATATAAATTATATTAGCATATGCTTAACAATAACTATCTTGTGAAAAGTTATAATTTAATAATAATAATAATAATAATAATAATAATAATAAAAAATAACAATAATAGTATAATAGTGACATGGGATTCACAATAAAACATAGACAACATATCATATCATTATATATGTATCTAATATTTCATCATACTCGCGGATACAGCTGAACTGGTTCACTGCAATATATAATAATATGCAGTATTATGCTTAAGTTATAAATACAATGTCGTAAATACAATTTTATTGAGTTCAACATCCTTACTACATAAAAAAATACATAATAAATAGATATATATTACGTAGATAAAGACAATATAGATACATTTTTCGTGGGTTATAATATATTGAGAATCATATTTTATAAGTATAGATAAGCATAGAATATAATTTGTATGTATTACATTATAAAGTCTAAGGATAACATCATTAAATATTTGAATATATTTATACATATATTGTCTATATTTGCAATGATAAATAATGATTTATAATGTACATATTAGACAATACATTAATTATCAAATTATAATAGTCGGTATACAGTAAAATATTATAAACGATTTATTTTATCAAAAATGATTATTCTATGACCCCGAGTTTTCTCAATTGTACAATTCATATTTGTTTTTTTTGTGAGTGAAAATACATTTAAAATTCTTAAATAAATAACTTAAAAAATACATGTTACCTATGAAATATAATTTAATTATTTAAATATACAATAGGTACTTATTATTTTGAATATGGTGTAATGGCTATCATATTATATTATAGACAATCATCAATCATCAAAATTCAGTCATTCAGACCATAGTAAAATATAGGTACCTACTTAATAAATTATTATGTTAAATAAAAATAAATTTAATAATAAAATTCACAAATATTTGATGAATACAATGCGCTAACACCAAAATAATAAACATTAATAAAAAATTACCTAACTACTTAAAAAAATGCACGGCTTTATGATCTGAAATCAAATCCTTTTCCACTATTTCTCCTTTATATTGAGAATTTTTCATCTTCGAAAAAATTTGAACATCAGGGGAACCATATATTAAAAAATCGAGAATATGAGTAGCATGAGTATTATCATTTGGTGTGACTATTTGTTCTTGAGATTTTAATTCACTTATAATGTCTTCAGGTAATTGATTAAAATCACCGGCTAACAACCATGAAGTAGGTTTTCTAATGGTATTCATATAAGTTCTGATAATTTTCAATTGTGTTATCACTTCGTTACGTTTTCTAGTTGGTTCCGCGTGAATATTTAAAATAATATCATAATTTTTTTGATTATTTTGATTATTTTGTAAAACCAATCCAATAATAGGGCGGTTAGTATAAGCACGATCGTGACATACACTCTTATGATTGTGTTGACTTGGAAAAAGTATTATCTCTCTAGCTAAATGTCTGCTTACAATAGTTATGCTAATTTTGGGAGTAACTAGATAATAGAAGTACAAAATAATATGAAAATTGTAGGTATTATTGAAATTATTTGATGTTACTTACCATTGGGGGATGCAGGTGAATAATATATATAAAACGGCCCGTTTTGAAATGTCGTTACAGTTTTGACTTTAATAAAGTCAGCATAATTCGTACATTCGATATCACCTTCTACGTCAGCAATAACAAACTATTTAAAAAAATCATTTTTTTTAATATAAAATAATTATAAAAATATGATTATTATATTTAATTAAATATAAAAAAATTATATTTGAGACATTAAACTATAAATTAAAATATTTTAAAAAATTAAAAAATATCAAATATTTAAATATATTATACAATAATTGTATCAAAATTAAAAATCCTTATACTTTTGGTAAATTAGTTTTCGGTACTGGAGTTCCTGCATTATTTGATTCAGATTCAACATTTCCACTTTCTTGCACAAAAACTGAATGTATACGTGGATTCTTATCCAAGAAAGCAAAAACTTTTGGGAGTTTGTAGCCATTTGAATTCCAAGTTACTATTTGGTGATCAGTAACTAAACACGAAATTAAATTATAATTTATAAGCTGAGAAATTAATAATAGCAAGACTATTGTCGCCATTCTGTAGATATTATTTCAGCTTCTAACTTATAGTTTTAAATGTTAAATTTTTTTTAATTCACGTTATATATATATATGTTGATAAATAATAAGCAATATTATAATGTACCTAACCTAACCTATAGTACCTACAGTACGCTAAAAGTCGGCCTTATATACAAGTGACCTAATGATCCTGTTATCATAGATGTGTTTACGTGTAAGGCCAATATGACCATGGCCGTACCTACGAAATCAGCAGAATTTTAAATTAATGTTAATAAAATAAACACCACTCTCGTAAAAATGGTAAGATATTATATGTTATGAAGGAAATAAAATATTGTTGACATATGTATTTGAACGAGTTCAGAACGAATTTGCAAAAAAGTGTGCAGAAATCTATGTTCTGGAAGTTTTATCCTTCCAAAGTTTTAGATTTTCTGATTTTAAGCATGCGCATCACAACGGTTATACCGCCGCTCACCGAAGCTTTAACGAATTTTGATCTTTTTTTTAAATCTTACACTTAGGTATTTTAACGAGTTAAGAAAAGCACCGAACAATAAAGTATGACAAGTACAGAGTAAGTCGCTCGCTACGCCTACCAGCTCCGATCGACTAACTCAACAAGAGGTCATATATGGACCTCTCGTAAAGTATTGACAATGTAACAAATACAGTGATTAGTGGCTACCTTCACTTGCTTGCTCTAGTCTTTTAATATCATAAAGTATATAAATGGCGCTGAAATGACTTTTTTACCTGTAAAAACTAAACATTTAATGAATCAATAGTGAGCTATCAATAGAACCACTCCATTATAAATGATTTAGTGGCCCATGGTTGGTCCATTAGATTTTATTGGACTTTTAAATTAATACATTTTTCGTGCAGTCCAGCATAAGTATTTAAATTTTATTATTTTACCATTTTAACAAATTTTACACTGTATTTAATTGATTTTTTTGCCATAATTCAAGTGTTATAATTGTGCTATATTTTCCGTTATAGATGACAATGTTTGAATTGTTTTTATTCAAATAAATAAATAAATACTGTATTATATGAATAATATGATTTATCGGTTATTGTTTTTATAAACAGTCAGTTGAATCGATAGCCGGCGGAATCGATAAAACCTCGTATAGACAGCCGTCTGAGCCGTATTAACACTTTTTTTCCCAAAGGGTCTTATTTTGATTTTTTGTATGTAACGTAGACACATAGTCTTCACTGCTTCTACTATCACCCGGCTATCACATTCAATCTTCGATCTTCCCACTTTGCTCTAGTATCTATGAACTGTTGTTTGATAACTAATCCCATATTTCTGTAAAATAATTGTTATTTTTTCTGATTACAATCTCTAAACCATCATCAGTTCGTAATACTTTGACCATAAAACCAGTACTTATCAGTTTTATTTTACGTATTTATATTTCGATTAAATCTCACTTCGCTTTTATGTTTTATAAATTATACTAATCTATCATGTGAATAATCATCTTTAAATAATAAAAACTATTTTGACCCACCAACAATTCCCTTGCCATTAGTCCACAAATATCAACGTGCATTGCTTCTCCTATAAATGTTGGGTTCGTTGTACTCGACTTAAATGTTTGTTTATGTCGTTTACTGATTATTTATGAATTACAGAAAAAGCGATTTTCGTTATATGTTAATTTTATATTATGTTTTTCTAATATACTATAATATACTTTATATTTTGATGATTTAGCGTTTCAAGCCATAATCTTAATGTGTCCTTGATAACAATATTCGCTTGAGCACTTTTTTATATTGAGTGTAATGACTTTGAACTTTAATTAAAATATTTTTTTCTCGTATCTCACGTTTCACCGATACAAACTATCTATCCGCTTCTCGAAAGCGTACATTAATTTTTATCTGATGACAATGTTAAGCCTTTATCTAACGCTGTATAATATGAAAATAAATTACACATATATAAAATATGTTTTATCACCTGCTGAGATAGAGTTCCAACTTCCAAGCACTATAAAAATGATTATATATACCAAGTAAAGCCATTAATGTTTTTATCATAACCATATTTTCCGTTACAGGTTCCTCTGCTAGCTTCAGTTTCATTCTCAAATTTTATATTTTGAGTCTACCTATCAGTTGTCGTTTCCATTGAATTCCTAAAAAAATTTTGAAAAAACTATTGCTTCTGACTTTCATTCTTAAATATTGAGACTTTTTTCCCACATTTAAAATTCAAACTCATTCTCAGTCAGTCAAATTTTGTTACCACTGAAGTAACAATTAATTTTTGGCACTTACTGTCAGCTTTATTTCAGTCGCTAGTTGACCTGCCATCTAGCCCTGGCTTCCTGGTCAGTTTGCTTTCCTCTCTTTGTTACTCTAGATCTAGGCTTTTTCCACTCTTCCATAACTATTAGCGTTAATTCAATTGAGTTGAAAATTATCTTCATTTGAAATCTGACAACGGCCAATTTTTCATTTTTGATAATTTTGTTATTGTTACTAAACTGTCCATCCTGACCAGTGACCAGTGTTTCCCAACCTTTTTACCACTACGGACCACCTTGACAATATTTTATAGGTCACAGATCACTTCAACTTTACGAAAACTAGGAAGACTTATTTTTCCTCATTATCAACTATCAAGTTTAATATAGTTCCTCAATAAGTCGTAATGTTTTTTGGACCACCGGTTGGGAAACAGACTGATCTTGACTATTCTTGTTTGTATAACTTTGAAGAATGTCAAATTCTATACTTGAATAGAGAGTAGTTCATTTGTAGTCTACGTGTACCTATCCAAATAATGTTTCTGGGCCCATAGGCCATAGCCTGTTAAGTTTAGGATTATGTTTGTAGATCGATTTAGACAAAAATGACTAGGTATTACACTGCTTTTAGAAATAAGTATAATTTTTACTGTAATGTTATAATATAGTGCCTACAGTACACTAAAGGTCAGCCTTATACTCAAGTGACCAATAAACACATATGGCGATGATTTAACAAATGGCGGAAAAACAGCGATATTGTTCTAGGCCGTAACTGGAAATTAATTTCGGGGGGGGGGGGATTTTAAGCTAAAAGAATGTATTCTAATTTTATTATAATCTTTGAATTCCTTCCGTTGTGGGTTTCAACCCACCGAGTATCCGGAGTATCACACATTGATATCAGTTTAGTCCGCTTAGTATTAGGTACAATTTTTTTTATTTTAGTTTATATAGTTATTTTACTACCACATAATATAACACGAAAAAATTTCGGGGGGGTTTCAACCTCCTTACCCCCTCCCCTCTCCCCAGATACGTCTTTGATATTGTAATTATTGCACAATATGTCATTATAATATGATGTTACTTTTTATACAATATTATACTCTACAATATATTCATCTGTTTAAAAAATGTTAGTTGATAGTTAAATTGCTCCCCCACTTAAAATTCAAAATATCGTCATTTTCACCTTGTACATTTTAATAATTTGTAAATGTTCAAAATAAAGTTTAAAAAAATGATACAATTTTCAGTATTATACACGTTCCTCATTGGTCAATATTATACTTGAATATCGAATTATATATAACCGTTACAAGACAGTAAAGACAGTTACTACAGGACTATCTGCTCATAAATATATATATTTAAATATTTGATGTATACTTTATATACTCATCAAATTCAAGTAAAGAATACATTAAAATTCAATGGATATAAATATTTTAATAAACACTTGTAAACACGACACCAGACTCGACAATTTTACGTAATCATTTGAAGGCGTTGTGTTTGGTAGGTATTAAACCTGGTAAATGTGACTTCTTTACATCTCACTTGTATTAAATAGATTGCTTTTCCCGATCCTATATTCAGTACTACAGTAAAAATGGCTGTGAGGGAATTTATACTATCATTTCGGAACTAGATTCTCTCCAATATAAGAACAATGAAATCAAAATATTGACGCTACTTTCAATTTTTAAATAATTTTTATGATATAAAATATCAGGGATTTGGCATTATTATACCTCACGATGATTGGCTTAAAAATTATAATATTATTACTAATCATACAATTTGTGTTTTGTTAAGTACATTTTATATTACTTACGTCTATGAATCATGTATGACGTATGTAGTTTGGAGACTATAAACAATTTAGATATACTATATATTGCTCTGGCATACGTTAGGAAATACACTTGTAAAATTCTATAACTTGATATGATATAGAGACTATACTAGGTGTGGTGACAGGTGAGGTGAGGTGAGATTTCGTAAAGATTCGATTTGATGGATATAAAAACAGGGGTTCTCAAAAAATATCTGAAATAATGTATTCATTAATTTTGACGGAAATTTGAACATAACCTTTGGCGGAAAACGGACCCGTAATAACCAGCGATGGTCGCTTTGGCGGAAAACGGATATCCCATTAAAAATCTGTGTACTGATACACATTTTTCGATCCATTACCTATGCGGAAATTAGCTGCACTCTAACAGTACCTATAGTAGTATACCTATAAAATCTTTTATATAGTTTCATTCAGCTTCGAGTTATCAATCTAAGATTCTTTTAAATCTTAAAAATAAAAAGTAAAAGTCCAATTAAAAAATAATTTGAGTTTATATTTAGATACTTCTATAAATATTGTTAATTTTAATAATTGTAATTAAGTATTTAGTATGATCTTAACAATAGCTGAATTAAAATTGTTGTAAGTACTGTTTTATAAAGTTCTGAACTGCTGATAATATATATATACAATATGCGTAAAAATGTTAATTTTTGTTTTTATTTAGAGGTCGTATGTTGTAATTACAACTGTCCACTGCAGGTTTTCTTACTCTGTACTCATGTGAAAAGTGTGGTACATTTATGTTTTGTATTTATTGGTCCCTGGTTCGTTACATAAGTATTTTATTAGTTGAACATTTTATACTTCGAAGTGTTATTTGAATGACGCAAAGTGATGTATGTTTGTATCAAAATTTAAGCAGTCCACTACAGTCATCTCCACAATATGATAAAAAAGCAAATATGCTTCCGGTTTTTGGTATGGCATGATTCATCGATGTCTCATAATAGTTATAACGTAATGCATGTAGATATCCACCTATTTAA